ATGTCACCTCTGCTGATTTCCTTGCACTTCAGTTTGTGGAGTCACGTCACTGATACAGATGAGGAGAAAATAGTTTGAGTTTGCATGTGAGTCCACCTAATTGAAACTTCCTGAACTGAAATAAAGCAATCCTTCGAATTCTCACTTTTCTGAATTTTATGACTTAGTTCTCCAACTGAGAAATGTATACATTTTTTCTGGGTCAGATGAAAAGGTGTATACAGAAATGCATTATATTGGGGAAAATTGCATGCAAAAATGTGTATATTAGAAGAAATGTACTCTAAAACGCTGGTGAATTTTCACGAGGATCTTTCATTTTAAAAACTTTCAAACTGATGTGGAAATGTGGGGAACTGAACTGAAGACTGGATTCACGAGAAACCGAGATAAACCAACATTGACATATCCACCCACTGCTAGTCACTGTTCTGTGTTGAAATCAACCTGGATTCTGCTTATCTAATGCTACCGGTGAATCCCATTTAGGTTGTTTTGCAGTGGTGGGTTTCAAAATCTGAACCCAAACTAAGTAATACTGTAGACTGAAGCAGCTGTAAGACGTTGGCATGGGATTACTGAAAACTGCAGATGTGTGGCAGTGGTAAGAAAACTTGCACAGCTGGAATGAAATTGTGCCCCCACCCCAAAGAAGAGAGGCATCTTATTTGGATAAGATAAGATGCAGAAAGTGAAACTCCTGCTGTACCTTATCTGATACACACAAGAGATAAACATCCTTACCTCTCCACCAAGCCCTTTGCTCAGAGGTTTGGAGAAGGAAGAAACAGCAAGTGTTCCTCAGCCTCATGCCCATTCCTTATGTTATCCAAACTTGGATGTAAGACTCTTCTTCCTGCTCAAGCTTTGAGCAAGTACAGAGCGAAGGCTAAGTTGCCCTTCCCTTACAATGCTATTGGGAGAAAGGAAGAAACAGTAAGACAAACACCTGTATCATTTTCTTCCCTTCAACAAACAGTCTTTGGGTGGCTGCTGGGTGTTGTTCCTCCTCACCAGAGACCAAGGGGCACTCGCTTCTGGTACTCTGACCAGTGAAATTGTGGGTGCCTGTCCATAACTTCTTCTTTGACATGCACAAGTTGATATTGGTTCATGGCTTTTAGATTCTCTAGCCCAACCAACAATTATGGGTTGCATCCAACTGTAACTCTATAAATACGGGAGCACAGGAAACTGGTCCATCAAACTCAGTATTGTCTACACTGACTGGCAGTGCCTCTCCAGGATTTCAGACAGGGTTCTCTCCCAGCCTCACCTGGAGATGATGGGGATTGATCCTGAACCTTCTGCTTGCAAAGCAGATGCTCTACCTTTTCAGAGCTGACCCATTTTAATAAATGGGCCTAAGTAAGCCATGCTTGTTAATTTCAGTAGGTCTGTTCTATACAGGATGAACACTGGATACAATCGTATATAATTTGCATTGCAGAGCCAATTGTGATAACCCAATGAATCCCTAGGAAGCATGGATCTTTTTTCTTTTGAATAATTTTTATTAATTTTTAACATATAAATTATAATACATACCACAAAACTTCACATCTTATACAATCTATTTTTGGACTTCCATCAGCACCTCTGATGATCCACCATTCTTATCACTTCTTCTGCATTTCTTAAATTCATATTGCCTATAAATATCTTAGCTAACCATCCTCCCCTTTATCTGTTTTTGCAATAATTCAAATAATTCACCTCACAAAACTTCTTGCAAACCTACAAACGTAATCTGATCATCACAATTACTTTTCAAATAGTCCATAAATTTACTCTAGTCTTCTGTGAATCTCTGGTCCTGCAGATTTTGAATTCTTTCTGTTAATTTATCTAATTCTGCATAGTCCATCAATTTCATCCTCCATTCTTCTTTCGTCGGTAATTCTTCTAGCTTCCATTTTTGTGCCAATAATATTCTTGCGGCTGTCGTTGCATATGAAAACAGCTTAAAATCTTTTCTATTTACATCACTTCCTACAATGCCCAGTAGAAATGCTTCTGGTTTCTTATTTCAACATTTTTTCATCTCATTATATATCATTTCCCAGAAGTTTTTCACCTAGGAAGCATGGATCTAATGTTTGTATTTACCCCCTCACTTTGTACTCTTGAAAAGTTGAGTTTCAGATGAGGTTCAAAGGCTGAGAAGGTTGGGTTTTTTCCTGTCCATGAACTATCCATTATTTTGTATTTCAGGATTCAGATTATTATCATTGTGCACTTTGGAAGGGCTTAGGACACCTATTTGTGGTGTGGCAGTCACGTAAAAGTTCATTGTAGGTTGTCTACAGTCACTTATAATACCCTGTTGTACAGTGAGGCATGTTTTACTATACCATCAAGGTTACCACACATTTCAGCTTGGTTGCAAGGTACAGTAAAGTTCAGGTGGCTGTGTGGCCAGAGGCCAGAAGTGACTGGCTCTCTCACACAAATTATCAGCTGGATTGATCTCTGGTCTCTCCTCCTTTCTGGTTCCTTTCCATTTTGTACAGTTCTAGAATGAGATGAGGTTTTTTTAAAAAACAGACGAGAGAAAGGGCTTTTGCTCTTGGCATAGTTCTCATACCTGTGGAGGAAAGTGTCCTACACCTTCAAACGATATCGATCCAGAAACTTGCCCAGAGTCTTCTGGTACCACCTTCTTGGGTAAGATGCTCGCTACATCTTTTGAAACGAAACCTCAGTGATGGAGGCTTTGGCAGTTCTCGGCTGCAGGATTTGTGTGGAGAGAGCTGCACTACAGAAGGAGAAGCCGTTAATCAGTGCTTTTGAAAAATCTGAAAAATGCTTTAAAGTTTCTTGGAAGTGCTTCATGAAACACGAAGCCAAGCTGCTTTTATCTTTACTTTAAAGAGTATTTGATGCAGATATTGAAGAGACTTTTGAGGCAAGTAACACTGTACCGAAACAGACAAATGGTCCTGGAATGACCGCTCCCCGCTTAAAACGGGGGGGCGCCCTTTGCGTGGACGCGTGCAGCCCCTAGATCTGGAGCGGCTCCAACAGCATAGGCTTGGCCTTGCCTTCCCTCAGTTGGGATACCTGGAGGTCTCCGCCTACCTCAGTCAGTTGTCCAATCCCACCTGGGGGAAGCGTTGCCAAGGAGACCAGGCCAGGTAGGGGAGGGATTACCTGCCCACACAATAGAGGGAGGATCTTACCTGGGAATCCTCACCCTACCCATCCTCAGTTAATGCCTTATTTGCAGGTTAACTTTTCTTCACAGGTATGCGGGCGCTGCTACGTTAAGGTCGCTGTTAAAGGGCCGGAAAGGAATTTCCCTGCATTGGCAAGTTTCGTCTTTCCCATAGCAAAACGTCACAACTTTGGCGGTATCAGGCCTTGGGCAGAATCCTTTAGTCCATCTTCCTCTTTGCGGCGGCGATACCAGGGTTCCCCGTTAAAGGGGTTTCTGAAGGGAGGCTTTGACCGTACGCCGAAAGGTCGTCATTGCTCTCCCCTGCGGCGGCGGCGTAACGGGGGCGGCTATCTCTGCTTGAACATATGTTCTCCAGAGCCGGCCCATCGACCCCCCCACACACACTGGATAACCCTGATGTTCCCTAGGTCCCTGGCTGGGGACTAGGGAGAGATAATGCCCAATGCCTGAGCCAAGGTCTACCCACATTTGAAATTTAATAAAGTTGTGGCCAATTTAATCCCATAGCACGTTGTCTCGAGTCGTTATTCCACATGGGGGGGGGGCCGGGATCAGGGGACTCCGCCTGTCCACGCAAATATTCGCAGTGTGGTGTGCTAGGCAGAGATCTAAGTAAATACACAAATGTTAATCAGTCTGAGTGTTCCTTATCTTGAATATTGTCAGGTATGGGAGGAAGAGAGGTATCAGATCCCCAAGGCCATGGAAGTGGCTGAAAGTGATTGGATTTGTAAGGGATTGGAGAGTGGAAAGCACATCTTGCAGTTCCTAAGCAACTCTGAAAGTTGCTGTCTTCATTTCCCCTCATCTCTGCACCCCCAAAAGGGTTTCAAACAGATGGCTTTGCATTCAAGGGCAACTACAGAAAGTACGAAGGCACACGGTGGCAGCACATATAGCTCTATTTGCAGGTTAGGGTCGTGCCTCCATGTTGTGTGATGGGTGAGCCATACCAAGATTGGGGCAAATAAAACAAAAAAAAATATGAAAATATCATGCCATTCTATAATGGACGTACCGTATTTTTTGCTCTATAAGACTTACTTTTTCCCTCCTTAAAAGTAAGGGGAAATGTGTGTGTGTCTTATGGAGCGAATGCAGGCTGCACAGCTATCCCAGAATAGCAAGAGGGATTGCTGCTTTCACTGCGCAGCGATCCCTCTTGCTGTTCTGGCTTCTGAGATTCAGAATATATTTTTTTCTTGTTTTCCTCCTCCAAAAACTAGGTGCGTCTTGTGGTCTGGTGCATCTTATAGAGCGAAAAATACGGCACATTACGTGTACATAGTAGGGGGTTTTCTAGAAAGGTGCCACAGTTTGTTTGTTTTTTAAATAAATAATTTTTATTATGTTAAGTTATGTTATGTTAAGTGCCACAGTTTTTAACAACAACAACAACCCCCATAAAGTGTCGGTACTGTGTAACCTTGAGTAGCCCCTGAAAAGAAAAGAAAAAAACACTGCCTGTACAGTACAATGAAATATACTTAAATGAAATAGTTACGTTACAGGTAGGAGACTATTTGGTCCTGGAGGGGATCCAAAAGTTCACACATAAACAAACCCACACAATAAAAGGGTGTTAATTTCAGATGTCTTTATATGTTTGTTATTGATATAATTTGGGGTAATGGTTTTGCACTGTGCAACAAAACTTAGGTGTGATGTGGGTTGGTGGGGTTGCTGTTGCTGCTTTATCAAAAGGCTGGATAAGAATTTTGAGGACTTATTTTGGATATAGTAACTCCTGTATTAGTGATGAAAGGTAGACAAGAGGATCACCGTAGTCTAATCTTTCCGTTTCTTGACAACCTCACAGGTCCAGAGCCTAGAACAGCACAACCAAGTCCTTCTCACGAGATGGAACTTTTTGAAAGAACAAGACAACTCCCTTTCTGAGTTGGATATCAAACTCCTCTACGACCAGTACATGAACAGGCTGAACCTAGAGGTTCGGTCAATTGATGCGGAAAAAGAACAGCTGGATTCAGAACTTGATGAAGTGTTGGATGCCATGGACGCCTTCCGTAGCAAGTAAGTCTTCTCTTCTTTCTCTGGTATCAGGAACTTGTGGCCCTCCAGATATTGCTGGACTACAACTCCCACCATCCCTGTCCATGGGCCATCATCAGGTTCCCCACTCCTGTTCTAGGTCTTTCACGTGTTTGGTGGACATATTTATAAAGCATTTATTTCCTTCTTGTCTCTTAATTCATATCTTTCTGCATATTCTGTGCACCCCTCAAAGATTACACCTTCATACTTCACATCTGTATCCACTACAGAGATAGTCCTGTACTGAGATGAGATATCATAAGAGAGAGAGAGAGAGAGATTTTTTCTAGAGGGCTTGTAAAATGAAAGATAACTGTTCTGTCCTGTGCTCGAGAGGCAAGAATTCTCCAACAGACCTTTGGTTGACATACAGAAGACTGCTTCCACCACTGCCCCTAATACATATTTTTATTATCTAAAGTAAAAACCATGCACTTGCATGGTTGCACAACATAGGAGTTGAGGAGAAAATGTGGTGAGAGTTCAGCAACGCCAGTGTTGTTGAAGCACTGCAAAAGACTTCTTCTTCTTCTTCTTCTTCTTCTTCTTCTTCTTCTTCTTCTTCTTCTTCTTCTTCACCACTTCGCCTTAACAGTGAGTCCGTAAGTGACTGTGGAGGCCAATTCTGGATCCACATGTCCTTCCACAGTGGGGACATAGGTTTCCAGACTGGTGTTCATCATGGTGAGGGTTTGCCAAATGTGCCTTCCTCTTAGCACATTTCTCCCTTTCCTCCTGAGTTTGAGCGTCTTCAAAGTCCATGACACCTTTGGTAAAGGCTGTTCTCCAATTGGAGCCCTTGCAGGCCAGTGTTTCCCAATTGTTGGTGTTTATACTACATTTTAAAAGATTTGTCTTAAACCTCTTTTGTTGACCACCAGCATTACGCTTTCCATTTTGAAGTTCAGAATAGAGGAGTTGCTTTGGAAGATGATAATTGGGCATCCAAACAACGTGACCAGTCCAACACAGTTGATGTTGAAGAATCATTGCTTCAACACTGGTGATCTTTGCTTCTTCCAGTACACTGACATTAGTTTGCCTGTCTTCCCAAGTGATATGTAAACAATTCTGGAGACACCATTGATGGAATCTTTTGAGGAGGTGGATATGGTGTTTATAAGTGGTCCATGTTTCACAGGGATACAGTAAGGTTGGTAGTACAATAGCTTTGTAAATAAGGCATAATAGGGTCCTAGCACAACAGCAATGGCCACAAGCTCATTGCGCCAGCATTGAGCCTCCTCTTTTGTTGAGATCTGCTCAGCTGGGCACTGAATATCAGATTGCCAATGCATGAAGAGATTTGTTCTCTTTTGAGAAACAAATAAAACCCCTAATTTTAGACTTGGTTTTGTATTTTAATGTCCTGTTCCAATTGTTGGCTTGATTGCTAGATAATGCATGTTGGCTGAATGTGCAAAGTTCAGCCAAATGGAAAGGAAACGTGAGAAGCAAAGGGAGCTTAATGTGTAACTAATTATGTGTAAATGTAGTCTACTTACCCTTCAGTCTCACTCCTCCTACAACATTCAGCTATTCTTTCTCTCTGTTCCTTCCTGGAGTCTGCACTCTTCTAATACCAGCCTGATATTAGTACTTGTATTTCCTGCCGACATTCCTTTTCCTTGGCAGCTTCCTGATTCTAGGACTCCCCACCCAACAGTCAGTTTTTCCTCTTCTATTAGTATATTCACAAGTGACTTAAGGATGCACTTATTTGGTCAGTCATTGTTTTACTTTCATTTCATTTCCCTCCTTATCTTGTCCTGTTATAATTAGATTATAAGGCTTCAGGCAGGGTTTGAGACAGATAGATAGATAGATGAGAGAGAGAGAGAGAGAGAGAGAGAGAGAGAGAGAGAGATATGATAGATTAGATAGATGATAGATTAGATAGATATAGATAAATAGATAGATAGATAGATAGATAGATAGATAGATAGATAGATAGAGATAGATAGATGATATAGATAGATAGAGATAGATGATATAGATAGATAGATGATAGATAGATGATAGATAGATAGATAGATAGATAGATAGATAGATAGATAGATGATAGATACCGGTAGGTAGATAGATAGATAGATGATAGATAGATAGATATAGATAGATGATAGATATAGATAGATAGATAGATAGATAGATAGATAGATAGATAGATAGATAGATGATAGATAGATAGATGATAGATAGATAGATAGATGATAGATAGATAGATAGATAGATGATGATGATAGATAGATAGATAGATAGATAGATAGATAGATAGATAGATAAGCACCCTCTGTTCTTCACCTAGCAATTATAGGAGTTGTAAATAAAAATGGATAAATAATAATATACCTACCTGTGAATAGTCTTAAAAATAAAAAAGATACATAGATGCAGCCATCTCTGTCACAAGCCCTATTTGCAAGTAAGTATTCTCAAGGTCACACCAACCTAGATAAAAGAGGAATTGGATTGCCAGATGGAATAGTGGGTGATTTGATGCTGGAGAACGAGGCAGGTGGGATTTTTGACACCATATCTTTCACATCCATTGGGCAGAGCAGACACAAACCATAGAACAAAGATCATGAGAATGGGGATGTAGATTTGGGAGATCATCCAGGTGTCCCTATGATCCCAACAATCCAGATGTTCAGGGTCATTTAGGTCAAACCATTGGTATGAGAAGGCATTCCCAGTTCCTAAAAATAAAGCCATCTGGATGTTTTCCTAGATCTGTTTTCCCGCTCCTAAGATCTTTATTTTTATTACTCTTGAGCAGGTTGGAAGATTTTTTTACTTTTACTTTCACCGAAGCAAGAGAAACATGCCAGGATCCAGTTTGAGAACTTTGAAAAGATATCCCCTGACACCATCAGTCATTAAGCAAAGTAATGAGGCTGTCGTTATTACACAATGGCAATGTTTCCCAAGGGAAACAACAACCAAAAAAAAAGAATATGCCAGCAACATATTTAACTGTAGAGTTAAAACCTGTGAAATTTCCTTTTAAAGATATTATTGTTGTTCTTTTCATAACAACAGCTGAGAGTTAATTAAATGTTTCTGTCCAAGGGCCATGCTTTTCAATTTGATTCTTAGGGCTTCTGATCACTTTTCCAATTGACTAAAGGTTTCTCTCAGTTTTCGACCAGCAAGTTTTATTTAGAGATGTCATGAAAATCATGACTTTCTGCTTGGAAAACATTATAGATAGAAAATATGTGGGTGCTGGTGGCGGGCTGGGACTAGATGCATAAAGTGTTGCACAATTAAACCAATTGCCAATAATATGCATCCAACAATCATTTTCAGACAGTCCTCTCCTCTTTTCTGCTTCTTTTCTTCCTTTATTCCTTGCATAATATTGATTCCAAGCTGCATTACATGTAGGGCTGCACAAATTACCATATTTTTCACCTAAAAAGTAAGGGGAAATGTGTGTGCATCTTTTGGAGCAAATGCAGGCTGTGCAGCTATCTCTGAAGCCAGGAGAGCAAGAGGGATCAGTGCGCACCGAAATATACACCTTTTCTAAACAGAGCTGAACCAAAACGGAGGCTTTTTGTGCAAAAAGACTTGGAAAATGTGCATTTTCCCATTTTGGCAATTGTTCAGCCCTGTGAAATGGATTTAAACTGTTCTTCTCAGAGGGATGGCAGGAAGCTTTTCTCTTGCTCTGATTTGGCTTCTTGCGAACAGCATAGAGCCAGATTTGGTTGGCTTTGGTATCATCTGGAAGCCTGTATGTAACAAGAGATGCCACTGTAGGTAAATATCTATTGGATAAGTCTCCAGCTATTGCAATTGGTGCCAACATATTCCAAGTTTACCAAATCCATATACAGTAGTACCTTGGTTCTCAAACTTAATCCGTTCCGGAAGTCCATTCCAAAACCAGAGCGTTCCAAAACCAAGGCACGCTTTCCCATAGAAAGTAATGCAAAATGGATTAATCCATTCCAGACTTTTAAAAGCAACCCCCAAAACAGCAATTTAACATGAATTTTACTAACAAGACCATTGATACACAAAATTAAAGCAATAATGTACTGCAGTCAATCAATCAATCAGTAGCTGAACTGGGTTCCACAAAGTCACAAAAACAAAAAAGAGCCACAAAAACAAAAATGCAAAATAAATAGCAAAAACAGAAGACAGACCTCAGCGTAACACTCAAAACGGAAGTGTGGCACTCAAATCAGAAGCATAACACTCAAAACGGAGCACGTTCAGCTTCTGAAAAAAGTTTGCAAACCAGAACACCTGCTTCCAGGTTTGCAGTGTTTAGGTTCCAAGTTAACTCTGAAAGCTGTGCTTTCGCTTTTACACATTTATTAACGTCGTTGTAAAAAATTATCTCAAAAACCTGAAGCCATGCTAAAGGGACTTTCTCCTAATATAGCACTGCAATTCAGCTCAAACCAGTTTGACTTGTTACTGGATTGTTCAAAGGCCCCAGTCTACTGTCACAAAGAAAAAATATCCTGAGTCTCCATAGTAATCTGGATACCATTTTAGATTTTAGTAAAGTGGGGCCGATATCAGTAGCGGAGCAATATTTTATCGTGGTCTCCTTATTGCAGTCAAAGGTAGATTGCGAAAGGTCAGTGTATTCCAAGTACATTTGTTAAGATCCTCCCCCCTGCCATTAACCTAGCAATGATATCAGTGCAGATGAAACTGCCCTGCTTTTTTGAAGCAAAGGATATTTCAGATCCTTCAAGAGTCCCTATTTTCCAGGGACAGTCCCAGATTTACAGAAGCTGTCCTGGTTTTTGACATAATCCCAGAATGTCCCGCTTTTCCTTAAAACGTACCTATTTTCATCAAAGAAATGTTGGAGGGTATGGAGTTATCCAACTCCCCAAGCCATCTGAAGATAGTCCTGTATAGGGAAGTGTCAGGGGCTCAGGGGCTGAGCCAAAGGGGAAAGAGGAGTTGGAGAGCGAAGGGGAGGAATCTGAGGGGAGCTTAGGAGG